CATATTTTACACACCCCTGTCCATATTTTGCACACCCCTGTACATATTTTACACACCCCTGTCCATATTTTGCACACCCCTGTACATATTTTACACACACCCCTGTACATGCTTCATGCACCCCTGTACACGTTTCATGCACCCTTGTCTATACCTCACGCATCCCTGTACAAGCTTCATTCACCCCTGTACATGCTTCACGCACCCCTGTGTAATAACCCAACCTGCAGTTCCCCTTCTCTCACTTGATACCCCAGCTTAACATTGCTAGCAGATCACTGTGACCCTCACCGAACTACCAGCTAGTATTAAATCTGAAATAGCAAATGAGTGGGGAACTACAAATGAATGGTTTATTAATTTTAAAATAATGAATAAAAACTTAACTGTCCACTGTCACCACCCCCACCCTGACTTCTGAATGTGTCTATTACTGATCTCCCAGGAAGGACAAAAACCAATAAACATGAACTCAAGGGCATAGGAATCTTTGTATTAATGCTTGGAAATCAAAATGTAAATCTTTACTTTACTTATTGGGGATTCAAGGATAACTCTAATATCCATGAAATGGAGAACACAGGGGAATTTCTAGTACCGCACATAAATTCCACATAACAAAAGAACACAGCAGTAACAACCAAAAGTGGAAACAAATAACTAAGCCAGAAAATACATTAACCCCTCAACTGCTCTGCTTCCAAATATGGCAAAATGCGAAGGAAATATATTCTCTGAAAAAAAATCTTTGTTATTTTTTTTAAGTGCCAAAAACCCTTCCCTAACTATAGATATGTTAACAAAAAGTCGAAATTGTACTTTGGCTGCTATGGGTTCCGTAAGTTCGCTCGTGACATCATCAATCCCTGGTCGCCCGTGGCGTATGCTCCCGGGGCCAGTAGGGCGCCCGTGTTATGATGCGCGAGTTGCCAGGAATATATTTTTGTTAATTTTTTGTGCACAGCTCCAAATACGTTTTATTTGTTTCTCGTGTCAATCCTATGTATAATGAACATGTACACAATATTATGGCAGTAGAACATCCGTACTGTCTGAAGACAAAGTATTATGCGTATGACATGTGTACACAAGTCCGGCACATATTTCCAATGTATCATGCTAATTTATGTAAACATACAATTTATTTACACACTTTACAGTATCACACACTATATACACACACCATAAACACACTCAGAACTCTGCGAGTGTGATCTGCCACACACAGCCAGTTCTCCCTCACTCCTCCAACATCGTACTCGCCATCACCCCTCCGTCCATCACGTTCATATATATATATATATATATATATATATTATATATATATATATATATATATATATATATATATATATATATATATATATATATATATATATATATATATATATATATATATATATATATATACAATCACCATCAACTGAGCTTTGTTGATGGTGATTGCAAACGCTAATCGAATTGGAAATTACAGTCTCTTAAATTGAAATGGAATATCTGTTAGAATGATAGGAATGCAAGGAATGATAACACCTTCACCTTCGAAAGGTCCTGTCAAGATTGTTGTTTCTATGACGTCACTGATTATTTTTTTTACTGCAAGCCGCGTGGCGTTGCAAAGTTTTGGCTGGTTGATATTTCGCAGCATGATAATTGGCAAGCCGATTTTCAGTTGCCTTATGTGTGGTGGTATCCCTGGTAGATCGAGTAAATTAAAAAATTATGTTGGATTATTAACCGCTTCATGTGCTTCCTCAACAGTGTCGACGACATGTATGTGACTGCATCGCTTTGAATGTTAGACTGAATAATATTGTTAAGGTCGTAGACGTCTTTGTTCTTGGCCGCAAGAATAGCTCGTTCATTCAGCCAATCGTGATTCATATAATTGATTTGAATATTGAAAAATACTTTTTCAACCAATTCTTCTTTTGACGTCACTAAATTGCAAAAGTTATGAGGCAATGAAATTTGTCCTGAGGTCAGATCAACCGGGACGTTCACGTTCCCAATTTCCAGAAATTGATGTGAGAATATCTCAGCTGATGGATCGTTTTGCAGTAGCTACATAACTACATGCATATTTGTAGTAATTTAAATGTCTTTACGTGGCGCCACAAAGTAGAGTATTTCAGGCAGGAATTTATTTCGTCTGCTGGTGTCGATCAAGGAATTACAGGTAATGTTTGGCTGAAATCAACTGCAAACAATATTAACGCGTTCTCAAATGGTCTGATGTTTCCACTCAAAATTTGCAATAATCGATCAAGAGCCTCGAGCTATTTTTTGCCGTGCATTGTGCATTCATACCAAACAATAAGTTTGCCTTCCTTCAATACTTTTCCCAGGCCCGATGCTTTGGAAATATTGCACGTGGGAGTTTCAATGAATTGCATGCTCAATGGCGATTTCAAAGCCGAAGTAGCAGTTCATCCACCTGGTTGCAATGTCGCAGCAATTCCGGACGATGCAAGAGCTAAGGTTTGCCATTTTGTGATTGAAATGTTGCCAGAATCAATCTAATTAGGAATGTTTTACCAGTTCCTCCTGGAACATCTAAGAAGATTTCTCCAAGCCTGTTATTGATAGTTTGAATTATTTGGTTGTAAATGCCTTTTTGCTGAAGTGTTAGCTTAGGAATATTTGATTAAACATACGACAACAGATGACCCGTGTTGTAATATGATTCCCGGCGCAATTCTACATTGAAGGAAGCTGCAGCAGATCGATTCGATGATGGCATTTGCAAATATTTGAGAACTTTGTTCGTGATTTCTAAGCACACGTCTTCAGTCATTATCAACGCAACGTTTTAGATTTTTGCTGTAAAATCCATGGTCATTTTTTAATTTTCCTTGCGTATTCAATGAATAATATCTTCAACCATGTGCGATTTATATTTCTCCCATAACTCTGTTGGAGATGAAGGAGAACCGGTGGTCAATATGATTGCAAACAATGCACGAATTTGATTTGGATGCGACTTGTTGGACGCGTCATTAATGCACACATCCCAGTATCGGTAATTCTCCAATAAATTCAGAGCTTGACATGCACTACGGTAAGTGGCATGTGTCACGCTGTTGACAAATTTCAATAGCTACCAGTGGGCCTCGAACCCAGAAAGCAAAACTACCTTCCAGTAGCTGCCATAATTCGTACGCCTTAACCCACTACACCACATCAGACCCTTAAAAGAAGTAGAGATTTCGAGGTATATATACACCTCAAATATCCCCACTTCCCAAGGGCACCAGACAAGTGAGGGGTTACTATACGTTTTTCATCAAGCCATTGTTAATGTGGGAGAACTCGTGTCCATGCTAGAAGCCCATACTTGCTTAAACCACAAGTGAAGATTAACAATCTTTGGACAACACCCACCAGTGGGCCTCGAACCCAGAAAGCACAACTACCTTCCAGTATCTGCCATAACTAGTAAGCCTTAACCCACTACACTACATCAGACCCTTAAAAGAAGTAGAGATTTCGAAGTATATATAGGTAAATCAAGTAAATATAAGTATATTTAAGTAAATCAAGTAAATGCTTGATACTTCTATAGAAGCATCAAGAAATATGGGCCAATAGGCCCTTTGCATTTACTTCCATTCTTCCCCTTTAACTTTACCCAATATTACCCAATATTTCGTGTTCTATCTTGTGTCGAAAGTTTTTTTCACCTCATCCAAAACTGTTGTAACATTTCACTGCACCCAAATGCAGATATATAAAATGAAAAGCCGTTTGAATTATAGCATAGTAAGAAATCTGTTTTAGTGTTTGCAGGTTATAGTTGTGTGTGTGTGTAAACTAAAGTCTTTGAAAATGTAATAAGTTAATACGAAACGCGTTCGTGTGTCGCGCCAGACTAGAAATAAAAAAGAATTTTGGAGAACTGATTTTTCAATTACCATCGCCAGTGAAAAGAACCGCAAGAAATATTGAGAAAATTCGTGTTAGAATTATTTATCTTACTTTTTCGGTCATATTTAATAATTTATGTCTACAGGATAGACTGCTACCAATATATATATATATATATATATATATATATATATATATATATATATATATATATATATATATATATATATATATATATATATATATATATATATATATATATATATATCCAGCTTCAGAAGCTGGATAAGAGAGTGTGAGTAATTAGAGGTTGAGTTATTTTTTATGAATTTACACAACTTGTCTACATTTTTTAAGTTATGTTGACTTATGCTAATGCCCAGTAAACTGGAATAGTTTTGCAAGCCTTTCACTCCCTTAGACACTTACTGATATTTGGCCAGGCTATGTTTTCCAGTGATGCCGTAGGTTACTACCCCTTAATATATCTTTATATTGGGGGATCATAACACCCTAGACTGTTTTCCAAATGTGAATTATGCTTATATTGATGAACAATTTTAAAGTTGCTATGACATCTAGGAACATGCAATCCACCTTTGTCGGTATTAAACTATGAACAACTATTGAGACTAAAATGCATGAAATAATACATGTAAATAGTGGTCACAGGAAGAGGAAGAGAATTATCAGGGGAAAGCGTTAAGCCATCACAATTATATAGCACTGGGAAGGGGTCAGGATAAGGATTTGGGATGGGACGGGGGAAAGAATGGTGCCCAAACACACCACTTTCCAATGGTTTGCCGGTATCACTTGATTAAGTTTTAAAAATTTGATCTGGAATGTAGTCACTTAATTGAAATAGAAAAGAAACTTAGTTGGCACCTACTTCCAGCTTGGAGATGTTGATCTTGGACTTACATAAGGGAGTGACATGTTGGAAATTTTGACATCAGTTACTAATAAACATAATTACCCTAGTTAATCATGTAAAGAAATTTGGGTTTCGTAGCAACTCTTGGAAAATATTACCTATTGCCACGTCACCTGATTTCTATTTATCCATAAAACTCGTATAAAATAATCTTAAAATCACGTCATAATAAATGTCTGCTTGTGCCACTCAGGAGACAAGCGCACATGGACGGTCGCCGCTACATGGAGCAAATTATCGCAGACCACTTCACGCGTGCTGACGGCAGCTCTAAACTGTACTTCGGCCGAGAGAGTGCTTTAGAAGGCAAAGGAGCGTGGCCCATACCTCACGACGCTCCTTACAAGCAACAACTAGACACAGTGATGATGTCTGTTCTTGAGGTGAGATCCATTTATGTGTCAATAAAGCAAAGAAATTAATATTAAAACAGGAAAAGGGACAAATTACATTTAGCATGTCTCAGTCATGCACAGACACAGTAAGAGGGTGATTTAGATGGAGTTCCGATTGTGTCTTCATATTGACACCGCACATCAAAACAGGGAGTGAGCTTGGGAACAGTGATCACAAAGAATTCCGAATTAGCATAGAATGGAATAGAGTTGTAGAGGAAAATTCTGTTAAAGTGCCAGAATGCCGAAAAGCTGATTTTAATGGCCTAAGGAAATTTTGGGGTGTATTAATTGGAAAGTCCTGGGCATGTGGGGTAGGGGGTGGGCCGGTCTTGGAACAAGACTTGAACCTAATGATGGGTAACGTAAAAAGGGATTTCGATATGGATTCAAAATATAATGTATTTAAAAATATTTTGAGTAAATCACAGGGACGAAATATACCATACAAATTGAGCAGATCGAATAATAATGACACGAAATGGCTAAAGGATCTTAATAACTTTATAGGTAGAAAGAGAGATTGGTACAACAGGATTAAGAATGGGGAAGTTAAATTAGAACAAGAATTCGTCAAACTGATTAGAAATGTTAAAAAAGATATAAGGAGGGCAAAGAGAAACTATGAAGTTTGCATTGCAAAGACAAACCCTAAAGTATTTTTTTGTGATATATCGAACAAAGATTAGGGAATAGATAGGGCCATCAAAAACGGAGACGAATGGTATTTGGAATTATCGATTCAAGCAACTTTCCCACTATAGACGTTAAGCTAATTGGCCGATAGTTTGACACAAGTGGTATACCTCTTTTCTTGAAAATGGGTACCGCATTAGCAACCTTCCTCGTCTCTAAACACTCTTTCTGACCCTAATGATTTATTATATATGGTAGACAACGGCTCACTATGCTCCTTGTATTCTTTAAACACCATGACAAAAATTTCATCTGGCCCTGGGGATTTGTTTGGATTGAGTTTCACTACTTATTTCATAACATCCTTCCAGGTAACTGCTATAGCCAACCTGTCCTCCTCTACACTAACATGGACTTGTTCGGCTGAGGGCATAATGTTAAGTTCCTCTTTAGTAAATGCAGAAGGGAAGGGAACTATGAGGATTAAGCGCCAAGCCATCACGACTATATAGCCCAGGGAAGGGGTCAGGATAAGGATTTGGGATGGGACGGGGGAAAGGAATGATACCCAACCACTTGGACGGTCGGGGATTGAACACCAACCTGCATGAAGCGAGACCGTCGCTCTACCGTCCAGCCCAAGTGGTTGGGCTAGTAAATGCAGAGATAAAATATATATTTAAAATACTACTCATCTCTTCGTCATATTCAGTTTATATTTTATCTCTGCATAATGTTAAGTTCCTCTTTAGTAAATGCAGAGATAAAATATATATTTTAAATACTACTCATCTCTTCGTCATATTCAGTTATCTGACCTGTCTTAGTTTTTATGGACCTATCTTTTCTTTTAATCTTTGCTCGAAATAACTTAAAAAAAATACCTTTCCTGCAAGCAATGCAGTAAATTACTGCTCTCAGGAAAATGAGAGAGAACTTGTGCTGAATACTGAATTTAGCTGCATCCAAAAGCTCTAAATGTCTAGGGTGCATTTTTGGTTCAGTTGAGTTCATTTTTCATTGTCAGTGAAAACTCAAATCTCACCTCCACGATGACCACCACCTTGCTACGAAGTCTGCTTCTTCCACTCACTTTTATCTTTATTCCAGAGGTCTTATGCTGTCCCGTTATAAACATCCCTTAGGGTTTTTTTTCTTATTAGCTGTTTTCTACTTTTTCCTGCATGGGACAAGTATTACGGTAAGTTGTTATTATATATATATATATATATATATATATATATATATATATATATATATATATATATATATATATATATATATATATATATATATATATATATATATATATATATATATATATATATATATATATATATATATATATATATATTATTAAATATGACCGAAAAAGTAAGATTAATAATTCTAACACGAATTTTCTCGATCTCTCTTATGTTTCTTTTCACTGTTGATGGTAATTGAAAAATCAATTCTCCAAAATTCCCTTTTTTTCTAGTCTGACGCGACACTTGAACGCGTTTCGTAATAACTTATTACATTTTCAAAGACTTTTAGTTTACACACACACAACTATTACCTGCAAACACTAAACATAGTTCTTACTATGCTATGATTTAAACAGCTTTCATTTTTCATTTTATACCCGCATTTTGGGTGAGGTGATATGTTACAACAGTTTTGGATGATGTGAACAAAACTTTCAACACAGGATAGAACACGAAACAATGGGTATTGAAGGTAAGAATGGAAGTAATTGCAGAGGGCCTATTGGCCCATATTTCTTGATGCTTCTATAATGGAGCAGAGTCTTGAAGTGGGTAGAATATAGTTGTGCATTAATTGGCTGTTGATTGCTGGTGTTGACTTCTTGATGTGTAGTGTCTCGCAAATGTCAAGCCGCCTGCTATCGCTGTATCTATCGATGATTTCTGTGTTGTTTGCTAAGATTTCTCTGGTGATGGTTTGGTTGTGGGAATAGATTATATGTTCCTTAATGGAGCACTGTTGCTTATGCATCGTTAATCGCCTGGAAAGAGATGTTGTTGTCTTGCCTATATACTGAGTTTTTGGAGACTTACAGTCCCCAAGAGGGCATTTGAAGACATAGACGACGTCGGTCTCTTTTAAAGCGTTCTGCTTTGTGTCTGGAGAGCTTCTCATGAGTAGGCTGGACGTTTCTTTGGTTTTATAGTAAATCGTCAGTTGTATCTTCTGATTTTTGTCTGTAGGGATAAGTTGTATCAGAAGATACATGTCTTAGCAGACAGAGTGTATCGTGACCTGGCTTGCACTCCTATTGACATGCCAGAAAGCATACTGAGGAAACTACTCCAAGCCTGCACTAAAGAGGGACCCTTCGTGAGCCTAGATGGGCACATGTATTAGCAAGTAGATGGGGTCACCATGGGTTCTCCCCCTAGGTGTCCTGTTTGCGAACTTCTACATGGGTACCATCGAGCAGAGGGTCTTAGTTGACATGGGTTTGAAACCGCCATATACTGCAGGGATGTTGACGACATTTTTACACAGATACCTGATGCCAGATATCTGCAGCAGCTAAAGGAGGCATTTGAGCAGAGTTCTGTGTTGAGTTTCACATACGAGATGGAGAACAATGGACAGCTGCCCTTTCTGGATGTAACAGTCGCGGAAAGGAGTGGAGGCTTCCATACTGCAGTCTACACCAAGGAAACAAACATAGGAATGGGCCTCAATGTCAATAGTGACTGCCCAGACAGGTACAAGAGGAGTGTTGTCAATGCTTATGTCGACCGTGCTCTTAGCCACAGCTCAGGATGGAAAGAAGTCGATGAAGAACTCTGTAGGGTAAGGCAAGTCCTAGTCAACAACGGCTTCTCTAACGGTTTCGTTGAAGACATCATAAAAAGAAAGGTAAAACGCCATGCAACTTCTGAAGAGTCAACCAACACAACACTTGTACCCCCAATTAGACTATTTTACAGGAACTTCTTGTCGACGGCTCATAAAACGGAGGAAAGGGTCCTGAAAGATTTTGTTGATAGGAACGTCATCCCTACAGACAAAAATCAGAAAATACAATTGATAATTTATTAAAAAAACAAAAAAACGGCCAATCTACTCATGAAAAACTCGCCAGACACCAAGCAGAACGCTTTGAAGGAGACCAACGTCGTCTATGCCTTTCAATTCCCACTTTGGGACTGTAAGCCCCAAAGAACTCAGTATATAGGCAAGACAACAACGTCTCTTTCTAGGCGACTAACAATGCATAAGCAGCAGGGAACCATCAAGGAACACATAATCTTTTCTTACAACAAGACCATCACCAGAGAAATCTTAACAAACAACACAGAATTGGAACACACACCAATATGGAAGCAGCAAGAGGAAGTATGGGCTAATAGACTTTCTGCAGTTACTTCCATTCATATGTTCACTTATCCAATATAAACCCATTGTTTCGTGTTCTGTCTTGTGTTTGACACCTCACCCAAAATTTTTGTACCATGTCTCCTCATCCAATAGAGTATAAGTACGAAGAATTTGTGTGTAAATTAAGTCTTTGAAAATGTAATACGAATTACGAAACGCTTTCAGGCGTCAGACAATTAAAAAATTAATTTCGTTGAATTTTTATTTTTATTACCACCGACAGTGAAGAAAAACAAAAGAAATATTGAGAAGATTCGTGTTAGAATTATTAATCTTACCTTTTTGGTCATATTCAACAACTTATGTTTACAAGAAAGATTGCTACCAAAATATACTAAATACATATTATATATATCATGGAATCTGACATTTCCGCTCTTGTTTATGTAAAGGTCAGGGTGCGGTTACCATAGGTTTAGTTTTCAAGGGTTGAAGTGTCGTTGATAATTGAAGTAGATATTCTGAAACAAAGGGACAAGCACACCACTTCCCATTGGTTTTCCGGTATCACTTGATTTAGTTTTAAAAATTTGATCTAGAATGTAGTCACTTAATAGAAATAGAAAAGAAACTGAGTTGGCATATGCTTCTAGCTTGGACATGCTGATCTTGGACTTACATGAGGGAGTGACATGTCGGAAATTTTGACATCAGTTACTATTAAACATAATTACCCTAGTTAATCACGTAAAAAAATTTGGGTTTCGTAGCGTCTCTTAGAAAATATGATCTATTTCCACGTCACCTGATTTCTATTTATCCATAAAACTCGTATAACGTAATTTCAAAATTACAAGTCTGAGAACCAGAATAGATAAAAAGGCGTTTCTCAATATTTGACATAATTAAATAATACAACTAATAAGCTTCTCCGTCCGTTTCTCAACAATGGGCAGAAGATTAACCGATCTCACGACGCGTCGCTTGATCGGGGGAAGGAGGAGACACCATTA